GGAAACAGGCTTACTTGTCTCATTGACTTTAACCATTACTGCATTTTTATTTTGTTCTGTCGTAAAGAAGTCGGTTTGCGCCTCTTGATCTGCAAAGTGTACAGTTGTATTGAATACAATGTTCTCTTCCGTCACGTCATGATTAAAGTAACGAGATGGATCATCTGTAACAGCAGCCGCTGTGGATGTAGACATATAGTCACTTTTCGTTTTCTCTTCCGTGTGGAGAAACGCTTCGTTGGCCGCCTCTTGTTCATAATTTTCAGTCTCATCGTTAAAGTTAGTCGCTAAAATCCAGAAAGCCAAATTCTGTACGCATGTTTTCCACACAGCAACAGAGATACATCGCCATCTTTTCGAAGCTACCGATGGAATCTCATGGGGAAATGGAAACGGCAATCATGTCATTCTAAAAAAAGCCTCGTCCCCACTTTTGTACGCCTGGCGAGTTCTTATGATCTCACTGATTTATTAGAAACTTTCGCTCAAGGCCTTTCATTACGGTATGTTAAATCAGCCGGTATAGACATGCCTCTAATTTCCCCTAGACCGATTACAGGTATTTTGTGCGTGTTCCCCTGTGTCTAGCGAATTCCGGCTCAGCTATTCAGATCAAAGTTTAGAAAACAGGGAAAATTCGTGTCCCAAATTAAATTTCTCAAGCTATCACCTCAAATTCGGAAGAGTCTAGTCCAGCGATGTTTGACTAATACGCGATTTTGGTCAATCTTCATGTAATGGTGGACAAAAAAGTATTGACATTGCTTACAGTTACTTCGACTCTTGTAATAAAACGAAGGGAAATGGGCAATTTCGGGCAACGAGACAACATGAGTAATTTTGAGAAAAAGCTAAAAGGCTACGTATTCGTGTCGTTTAAATATGGGAAAACATTTCGAAATAGGCACTCTTTGGTCGCAGGAATGAGTGCCAGATTATAAAGTAGCAATCGACCTCGAAGGATCACTGATCGGGGAGGGAATACCGGAAATTCGCAATGATAGGTACTTACTAGTTTCACTCGCTGCAGTCGTGTTTATACTTCCACTTTGTTCTGTCATATATGGGCTGTTTTGCGTATCTTCATCCACAGGGAGACCAGTTTGATTTGCTACAATATACCCCTCTATTTTGTCTGACTGCAAGTCAAGAGGGGTTGTATGTTGAAGAGTGGCTTCGGTGGACGAGAAGGAAGGCATCCTTGAAGTCGTTGCTTCCGTGTGAAAGAGAGTTTTAGTTGACGCCTCCAGTTCATATTTGTCGGTCTGGTTCTCAAAATCATGCTCTAAAATCCGAAAGATAAACCTATGTATTCGTTGACCTAAGGCCTTCCATGCATCTTAATCTGCTTTAACAAAGATTAGTACGGAGGAAGATGAGTAAACGGGCTTATAAGCCAGGTTTGTTTAAATCTTCTGAGGGCGGACCAAGTTCGGTGGGCTAAGTCCATACGTCTCAGTTCCGAAGCCCATCGGGCACAAAATGCAGTTACTGAAAAATGCCGTCTTTTGAATTAACGTTTTTTTCAGCCATGCGAATAAATTCCACTCGATAAATAACTGTCATTAATGTAGTGTGCACATTCTTCTATAGATGGTCGATAACCTCACAAATTCAAATATTGGAAAGTCGTGTTGGCAAACAGCTGTTTACCGTCAATCACTTCAGGCCGTTACAGTGACATGGAAAATTAGGCGACTAAAGCAGGCAGTTAGGTACAGTGCCAATATAGTTCTTGAGGTGGGGGGGAAGCACTTAGCAAGCAAGCACTTAGCACGAATATTCCTTCTAACACTTATTTTCTAGGCAGGTATCGTCGCAAGCACTTTTTTCGCTCGAAGAAGCGTTTTCTTTGGGTTAAAAGAAGGCTTGCATCTGTGTCATCTTCTATGACTGTAATATATTCATTAAAATTGCATTGCACCTGTCCGTGTACAATAATTGTGAGCCATATGAGACTACAGTACTGTACACATTTCTAGTAAAATATTTGAACACGATAGGTTTTCCTCATATAAATATTTGTTTTTCGGACGGCGTCGAGCTAGTAGACTGGAAGCCGTATAGGCGAATGCAACAGCAAAACGAGCTGAAAGGTGTTGGGAAATAGAAAGGAATTCTCAAAAAGCTATACATTTTGAAGATAAAATCCGTTTCTAGCAATTAAATACAATAAAAATATTTTCGCTTGGCTTTAGCATAAAATCTATTTTTACATGTAAGGGCATCGACAATCTTTAATAAAATGCACATTTAGGAAGTAGTTATGTTCATCTAGTAAGGTCCCTTCGGAAGACCGACAAGACGTTCGTTAAAAGGCTGGCATCATTGTTTGCCAAATATTGAGATTACGCTAGTGCCTACTTAAAGTATACTCTAGATTTGTCTGTACATACAGGATGGCGAAAAAAAACGCTTTGACCACACACTGAACCACCAATGACAGACAGTGCGAGACATTTCTGGCGTTTTTGCCAGATCTTAGGCAACAATCATGCTGGTTAAAGTCTCTACCAGTAATAAAAAATTAAGAGCGGTCGCAAAACTGGCAATTATTTTCGTGGTCCGACAATATGACTGACTCCCACCACATTCGTCATAATGTGGGGGCAGCCTCCATTGGTTGTGCTTGAAGTAGTTTGCATTTAGGTACCTACGGTAATCACCCCTTCCTCCCTCGTTTTCCTCGAGGAGCAATATGATGTCACACGAGGCATCCGACAACCCTTGTGGTGCAGAGGGAAAATTTGCGACAATAACATCAGTAGTCCTACGGCTAACCAAGCATCCTGTACGTCTACGGAAAGACTTTATACATGCATTAAGGCTGCCCTGGCCTTGACCGAACTCAGAATGTGCGTCCGTGCCCCCTGCCATGTCACGCAACAGCGATTATCTCGAACGTACTTTATCAGAGACAGAGGCAATTGGCAGAACGGGGCAGCCCGTGCACAAGGAGTAGCAGTAGCTATAGAATGCAGTCAATATGCTACTGCACACTTATGCCGATTTAAGATACCCCTATCGAGGATAATTGCCCGCTTGTGCGCTAATTGCTCAATAGCCGGCGTGCAGGCCATGACCTGCTGAACTTTCATCACACGCGGTGGAACTGGACGTTATGACTGCTCGGTAATCTGACTCTCGGGTCCCAGCGTTAGAGGACACCTTGACCTGTGTGTTCCCCAACTAACAAGTAACTTTCGCCAAATTGAGCTTCGGCATGGCATATGGATTGGGCAGGTCATTTTACTTGTTTTTTAGACTAGATCCCTATGAAAACATGACTTAAGCAATCCACAATTTATACTATTGTCAGCTCTCGCGAGAATGTCGGCCTCACCAAATGTGAATGTGCAGCCGGTCTCCTCGAATTAGCGGCAACTTGAGAATTGGCGCTGCCGCCGCGTATTCGCGTCTTGAGGTATCTGCCAGCTATTACGACGTAGAAAACACGACGGATTTTAATATTTCAGCCAAATAATAGCCATGTTCCAGCGATCACAGCCTTCTATTCTCAAAGTGAAATCTTTTCGTGCTGCAGTGATAGTTTTGAAGTCTACCAAATACTTCATGCTGGGCGCGCAGCGTCCATTGATTTTGCTGGCAGTAGACAGGTTTTTGCCGCATTCACCACACTCTTCCCCACTTCATCCACCTTGGTAAAAACGAAGCTGAAATTAGCGATGGTTGATGTGTGTGTTTAAAGGAGAAACTCCGACTTGTTTTTCTGACAGGTTTTTCCTGCTCAGCACTGCGCCCATCGGCTTTCAGGCAACCGAGCAACGAGGTGATGGCCTGTGGCTGGCGCTGGGGAAGAGAGTAAGGTTGACCATCAACGCATTTCCTTCCTCACTTTAATCAATCTAATGCACTTTAAACTATCGCAGTGCACTAAAGACCGTGCCTACCGTAATTTCATGAGGGCGACTTGGATCTCATATCATGTGAGACGGCGATATTGCAAAATCACTCTTATTCCGAAGAATTACCGAGTTCCTTATAGGAAGCTAGCTTAACCGAATGCCAGCATAAACGGGCAGGCCGTCCTGAGGCGTCGTGCCTGTGGCCGACTGCCTACAACGATTCATTTGTTAAAAACGGACTGCCTCAAGGTCATATGCCTTTGTGGTGACCGTCCTCACGCGATGACCTTCAATCACTGGACCGCGCACACACGCTCGCACGCTACATCGATTATATGCAGGCAAGAATTCAGATCCATTAAAATACCGTACTTTTTGTAGGGTTCTAAAAAAACAATGCTAACGACCCTTCACTCGAACAATCTCAATCTTTCTCAAGATAATTCAGATCTTATGCCACTAAGTTAATCTCAATCATACCGGTAATTTATATCAACTAGTTGATGGCAGCTTGTAAATATCTCATAGTAACCGTATTCAAGACGGCTGTCGTAATAAGTTCCACAAGAACTCCCGTAAAAAATTCCCCTCTGGTTCAGATATTGGTAGTCTGTACTGTATCGTGGTATTCGGCGAAAAATCCAACAAATCAATACATATTGCAAAGATAGTTCTCTTGTGACCATTCCCTACTTATGAAGGTCACCGGGATCTCGGTTGTCTATTCACAAAAGAACAAACGCCACAGCTTTGTGAGTTGGTTAGTTGCGAAAGGGCAGCGAGCGGGGGAGGTTATTCCAAGTCAACAACTGAGAATTGCAGATCTGCTAATAGTAATCAAGGAGATACTGGCCTGCATTGCCGATAAATCGGAAGCAAATTATTCTTATCCTAGGCTAAACGTACATTAGTTATGAGTTCCCACGTCATAATGAAGGTCACATATGAGTTTTTCAGTCAATGCGATGAATACGGTACCCGATGAGAGAGATTCAAAAGCAATCCGCTTAAATCGAGCCACTGCCACGCGTAAATCGGAGGCTACGCTATCTGATTAGGTAGTATATGAGTATCTTTTGTAATTTTTTCTTGTTAACCGAATTGTTTAACTTCCGCTTTTGAATGGAGGTCATATCACAGACCTAGCATGTCCAGCATTTTGGGCATCGTGGGAACTTCTCTGATCAGCGCTGCTGGTCTCGTGTTGTCGAGCAGTTGGACGTAGCCGCCCTCCAGGTCCAATTCGGTGTTATTCTGTTCGACGGCATAACCTTCACTGGGAATAAGCTGGAGAACGACGAAGGACACCTTTGATTGGTTCTCTGGCCGTTCACAGTATGCGGGCAGCTTATCCAGTACGGTGATCACCGTCAGATCGAGACGCGTGCATGTGAATGTTTCTCCGAACTCATCGATAACTGATATTTCCAGCATATCTTCAAAAAAGGGAAAGATGGTTTTTCGTAACCACAGTGTAAAATAACACTTTGCATGTAATAAAAGTTGAAATAATGAAGCTGCATTGGCTATTATAATGAGTGTTGCAGGTTCCGGTGCAGAGAAGACACTTAAATGAAGCTGAGTCTATACATTTTATAATCCGGTAGATTATAGTATATTTTAACAGAATGAAACACGCTCCTAAGAACAGGTGGACCAATGGATCGCCAATTTTAGAAAACTCGAGGACAAATACAATTCACTTGAAACCTGAGGCCCACCGGCTCCTATTACACTGGATATTTTGCAAAAAGCCAGTGCTGGGACTGGACAGTTAGCTACGTAGTTAAATGTCTGTCCACCGCTGCGTATTATTGCGTGCTCAAAAATAGATAAAGACTTCTAAATTTCTCGAAGTCGATCGCAGTGGCCTACTTTTACATTCGCAATTTTTTTAGATAAAGTGAACTGTTTTTAGAGTTTTATATCACGCGGCGTATTGTGTGTACAAATTCAAGAACGTAAAACTGCTTTATGTAGCTATGCTCTCGCAAGCCTTTTCGGTTTAGACTAATGCTGTTCTCGCATAAAGACCTGTTTTTTTGGAAATTAGGACAAAATTAGGTTAAAGCTATAGCTTTATTAACATTGTATGCCTCTATAAAGTACATCCTAAATTATAATACTTCCATGTCTTTAGTTGTTGGTACTATAGTGTATTCTTTTGCCAAAGTAATGTATCGTTGCTGACTGAGAACTTATTTTTTTTATTTTGTTATAGCTAGATGAATGAACTGCTGGTATCCCATATATGCCTTCATCTTTCGTGATGGTACTCAATTTTCACCTGAAGCTAACACGTTTTCTATATTGCTTCACGATAAATGGCATGTTAAAGTCTTGCTATAGTTGTCTGAAAATGTTTCCCATAAATCTTTCCCTACTGCCAGCTGTTCGCTGTCAGTACCAGTGAAATACGTATATTGAAATTCTAAGACATTTCCAGTGCACCTAATCCCTCTATATTTTTCAAGTACTAATTTGTCCATTTGTTATTTAATTTTCCTTTATGATCTTAATCATTGATGAGTGCTTCATTATACATTTAATAGAATACTATCATATACCATATGCTTAATTTAGTCGACAACGAACGGGCTGGTCAAAGTTTGCGCGTCAACCACGGATATAATACGAGGCAGATGACAAGGCTGGCTAACTCTAGACCACCAGACGCAGCAACCACAATACTCTGACGATGAAAGCGAGAAGACTTCCGAAACTTCAGTTCAAATTTAATTTGGTCCATGAACCCGCCCCCTTTTTTTCTTGCTTATCTGATGATGGGGAACGCGATAACATATCTGGACCCCGAAACTTTTTGGCATGCATAATGTATATAATATAACACTATAATATTGAATAATGGAAATTGTATGCATTTTGCGGTGCTATAGCGCAAGGCAAAGTCTCTTCGTAACATAGCATTTTAACCGTGAATTACCAAGCTAGTTGCGCCATCCGACGTAGCGCGCAGTGTAAAATGATCAAGAGAAGCAGTCGCATGGGAAGGGCCGGACGCAGCAACAACTCTGACGACAGTGGGAATAATTTTTGCGCAATTATCAACCACGCATACGACGCGGACAAGAATATTGTGACAATAAGTGAGCCATCACCGCATCAATTAAGACCTCAAGTGGTGGTTGCAGGAACTGACAATTATAGTACGCATCTGGATGATCGCTACGAACTATAAATACCGTACGATCCGTGCATGTATCACCTTTATCTGCGTATGTCTCAGATTTTTCTACGATTACCTATGATTAAGGATTCTTGACGGAATCCGAAACATCAGAACAATTAAACTCTTATTCCAGTGATCGCTTCTTCTTCTGTTTCTGAAGTGTAAAATGAGTTGACCCAACTCGATCGCTTGGAGCCGCATAGGTGTACCCAACACAGAAACGTCTGTTTGAGGAAGTAAAAAGCAAACTGAAGCTAAACTGCTTGGGTACTTTAAGCGATTCTAGACTGTTTTGGTGAGTCAGCTTCTGCCTTTGCAGTAATCGCTCAGCGACAAAAGTAACAAAGTTCTCTACCCGCCCCCCGCCCCCCCTCCCCGAGGAGTTATTGAAGTGGAACGTTTTTCGGAGAAAAAAGTTCTAGATTTTTTTTGAAACCGAGAGAGTCAGAGATTCCAAACCAGCTGACCAACAACAAATCTAATATTTGGACATGTGCTCCTGTCCAGAATTTGTATCGAAGTAATATTTTTTTTAAATCACGAAAAGCGTTTTTGATTCCCACATGGTTCTATATGAGACAATGTAACGAATTTAAGTGACAAATGGAGATGAGGCTAAGCGCCAATGCATCTGCAATGCTTCTTAACGAATAAATATATTCATGCGAATATGTATTGAAATATTGGCAACACAAGAAATATAAAAATGAAGAAGCGAAGTTCATTGAAAGAAGAGTGATATTTAATGTTTAAATTGAGGAAACGGGTCCCAAAGCAGACAAAAGAGAGATGTACAAAAGCACTTGACTTAAATCGAGGCCCAACAGAAGATGATATGGTTGGCCAGAGTAAAGGCCAATAAGTGTAGAGCAAGATTTAATCATTCCTTCGATTGTGGTTGTTTATGCTTCCAACTGACCTTGACAAATTTGTCGTGGGTTTATAAATCGGTCTTCCTTTTAGTGCATGTCTCATTTGAGTGCATATTTAGGAAAAGAAGAAGACCCGTTGAAAAAATGGATTTGTACTTGGCCATTTTTAAGCTGAATAAATTATCTCATTATCAGACGAAACGAATAGTGCATCATAGTTCAACTGTACTAGAGCGCTGAGGGACGTTGGGTTGTGTTACATTAGCATTGGAAGTAAGTTGAAGGTGTAGAGACTTTCAGTTGTCATTCACTGTGTCAGGAGGAGCCAAATCAGAGGAAGTATACATGGCCTGGTGTAAAGTAGCATGTTTTTTTAAGGGTCGACAACCGTCAGTCAACCGTGAATGCAGAACTTCATTATGAGCGCCAAAATTGAAAGGGCTACGGAGCTGTTCATGTTGGAAGACGGAGTTTGGGGTAGATCTCGTGTCTGTTTGCAGGTAGCCTCGATGGCCGTTTAAGTTCTGTCCCCCAGTGCACCGGTGACTGCGCCCAAGGGCGTGCGCAAACAAGAGGCCCAGGAGGGTCCCTTCGGTGGATGGCCAGTTGATGTTTGTTAATCCGAGTCCCAAGCGTAGACCAGTTTCGCCAGAATAAACGAAAGAGCAGTAAGCACACGAAAAATGGCTAATTGTATTTGCTTTGGGATACTTGGAAATGAGGTCTTTTACTCGGGGTAATGATGTGTGTACTGATGCCGCCGGCTTGTTGACGATAAAGATACCCAACTGGTTTAATTGTTAGGCGATTGTATTGGAAATTCTTGGTATTCAGAAGAGTAGGCAGGATTTCCTTGATTAACTGTCACCGTTAGAGTCGAAATCTTTTGTTGTTTCTGTCGTCTGTGATGGTTTTCACAAAGTTGGCTAGGCAGCCGATGAACCGAAATGACCGAAACAAGTGAGTGGGGTCTTTCGTAAATAAAAAGGCCTTGTTGGAATAACAAAGACCCTGTGCAAGAAGGATAAGCACAAATTTCTGTAATGGTCGGTGGGTTGGGCACTTTCATACTTGAGGATGACTTCGGCCGGGAAGGCAGCAAGCCCGCCGCGGCGATTCGATCATTTCACCCCTAACCAACGAGACCGATGGTTTGAGTCTCCTGCGTCGTTAATCCTGGGGTCAGGTATGGATAGCTGATGACTACTAAAAAGCCAAAAATGGCAATTCTACTCTCCTTTGTGTTTGTGAGTTATGTATTTCTGCCATACTCTGCGCATGTATCCCCCTTTTCTACGATTACCTATGACTTAGGGTTCTCGACAAAATCCGAAACTTCAGGCAAATAAACTCCCTGTTCCAACAATAGCGCCTTCCGTTTCTGTATAATCTAAGTGCAGAGCGGTGGATGGCGGGACTCGATAACATCCGCCAAGGTCCAGCGGGACAAGTGAGTTCCGTACCCGATTGGTGAGCCCCTGTTTACCATTACATATGCATAAAGAGCGTTGGCCGTCAAACAACCAGGCTACTGGTTCAAGCCTCTGGTGATGCACCACTTGGGGTTGGGTATAACTGGCTAATAACAGCTAATAAGTCAGAAATTGTAATTTTACTTTCCATTGTATTCGGTGTTTATTTTCTATATAAATATATAGGTTGATGAAGTGGCTCAGACTATCGTGTTTGAGTTTGCACTTATTCTAGGGTCACTGAAGACAGTCACCCAACAATGATTAATATGGAGATAACGAAGTATAATGTTTGGTTCATATTTTGACTACAATATTCAGACGTCCTATCTCACTTGTGCTTAATAACCTGTCAGAAAGTAAAATTATCTTTACACGTAATAGGTGCAGCTTATCAATTTGAAACGCTGAATGCCAGAGCAACACCGAATTGGGTTTAAAACTTATTTGGGCGTTCGTAACGTCCCTGAAACGCAAAGCTTTCTTCTCTACCTCTATCATATTTGGGTTAGATATAATTTTCTATTGAGTATGTTGAAGAATGAAAAGCTTTGCGCATATTTTCTACAAATATATATTTGGACAATGAACATCAATGGAAAGACGCATAGTTAATATCCAGTCATTTTTTTAAAAAAAAATGGGGCTTCTGAAGGCGTACCAAAGGATGCCTTCTTAAACTCCGCGTCTTGAAGTGACTGAAATATCTTGTGATTGTGCCGTTTGATCATAAAAGTACAGCACTTGTTCAGTAGCCTCTTTTAATCGGAGTCAACCATTACAGTAACCGTTTAATGAAGTAGCACATCTACGTTACCTTGGAAACTACAATGGCCAAATGTGCTCCGAATTCCGGAGGAGGAAGCGACTGTCACTTACACCATCATTCGAATCATCTCT